CTACGGACCCGGTCCGTCCACCATCTCCCAGGATACCTAGTCAGGCTGTCCACATTATCCGTTTGCCAATTCACATAACCTTTTATCCTTTTTTCTTTAGTCACCATCATCAAGTCACACACAAACATGCAAACCGGTAGTTCACGCCAACAAGACAACACACAACATCGGGTTCTTAGTCATTCAGTCCATAATCAATAAAACTGTGACACATGCACACGAAACTATGAAATAAAAACATCAGACATCATACTGCATTTAAAACTGTAAAATAGAACAAACAACAACTGACCGACAAATACACTAGACTCGGGCTCCATTAGCAACCTTAAACAATTTCACACAACTATTGATTCATGAAATACCATTTTATCATTTATTGTACTTTAATACCGTGATAGGAAATAGGGTGAGGAATCCTTACTTGTTTTCGGGACCCGAAATAGGCTTTTTCGAGCGCCTGCGGGTTATCCCTAAATTTCCTGAATTTTTTTCCGAAAAACTGAAACACGCTACCGGTACCTGCACGTGTCCCAAAAATCTCAGAATCAGACCTAGGGCCCCTTTCGGCCAATATCGCAATTCTGGCACGGCGGCTTCGCCGTGTTCCGACGACGATTCGCCTCGGGTTGGCCGTCTTCGGCCGAATTCAGCCACACTTACATTGGTCCCTACGTTAAAACAACCCTAGGGCCCTCGGGGGGCCAAAAAATTACGAAAAACCGAAGCTTACCGGCGGCGGTGCTCTCTGTGCGGCGGCTCTCTGGCGTGGTTCGTGTTTTGGTGATTTGGCTTCGATCAACCTGTAGAGAAAAGAATGGTGATCACGGTGATATAAAAATTGTATCAAACGGAGGCCAAGAAGGGCCTCATCAGAGGCAAAAATCGAGGAGGGACGCGGCGGCGCCGCTGGGTTTCGGCCGTGTTTTTCGGCCGGGAGTTTGGCTCTAATTTGGCCACAGGAGAACTCAACATTAAAAAACGAGCCGGGGTATAAAATTTACCTCGATCGACCGTCGGAAAACTCCCCGGTGCGGCGGCGGGTGGCTGCGACCGGCTCCTCCGGCGTCTGGTTTATCTTCTCCGGCGAGGGCTGACGGCTAGGGTTTTTGTGGTCAAGTGTGGGGGGTTTATTTATACCCTTTGCCTTTTAATCACAGCCATCCATCTTGATTTAATCTGGGTCGTTCGATCGTGATTTAATTTGGATTAAATCTGGATCGTCCATCGCGATTAAATCTGGGCCGTCCATACTTGATTGAATCTGGACCGTCCGTGCTCGTGCATCTGGGCCGTCCGTGCGCACGCTTGAACTGGGCCGTCCGTGCGCGCGGGGACGCATCTGGGCCGTCCGATCGCGCGCACGCGGATCGCCCACGTGGCCCGTTCCCGGGTCGGCGTGGCCTTGCCACGCGGCAGGTCTTGGTTGGCCAGAGCTGCTGATTGGGCCGCTGACATGGCTACTGACGTGGCGCTGACGTGGCACAATTTTTTTAAATTGTGTTTTGACCCCCAGTTTCTGAATTTCTTTTCAAAAATACCCCCAGAATCCAAATTTTCACCCTTTTTTTTCAAAATCAATTTCAATTAAATCCAAATAATATTTTTACCCAATTTTATCATTATTAATATTTTTATATTCACAAAAATTAATTTAAATTAAATTAAATCAAAAAAAAAATAGAAAAGATTATTTTGGGTGTTACAACTCTCCCCC